TTGTTTTGATATATTACTGTGTGAAAATGGTGAATTTTATTTATCGATTTCAATGAAGTTTCATCGACAAGTCGCGTACGGAGTTACTCGGTATCCCCTGCTAGTGTTTCAGTTATTATCGATCGCATTGATAAGGTGGATTTGCCAAGCGTCGGAAGCTGCTTATTGGTACAGTGTTGCATGGCTCTCATATGAATGCATTTCAGTGCTGCTCCATATTTATTCAAAAAAAATACTAACAGATTATATTCTCCTCATTCCTTTCTTGTCTAGGGTCCACGAGGTGTCTGCGTCAGGAGTTGACGAATGGAACGTTTGTAAAGGGTGACTTCAAGGCTTCTGTGGTGGAGAAGCAATCCGTACAAATTGAGGTAGCCTTGTAAAATAACGTATTCAAGCAGTTATACATGTCAGCAGGCGTGGCTTGTAGTATTGTCGAAACATATCAATATATCCAGAACGTTCTTCATAAGACAACTCTGGATTCTTTTTTTCATCAGTGTGAATCTAGGATACCCCATTATAGTCGGCATTTTTTGGCCAAATATCTTTGATCAGGTTAAGCCACCCATGCCGTGCATGTCATGTCTATTTGTAAACATCGGCACACCCTGGACCTCTTTTTTGTTTCGTATTGAGCTGTAGTTTTACTCTGATTTAATCCCCAAGCACACTCTGCTGCAAAGAAAGATTCTGTGCACTCATGAGAGAACGAGCTCCGAGGAGAAGCTAATTGTTTCACGATATCATTGTGAGCTACCGAATCATCTCGTGATCTTTTCGCGTACGTCAACGCCCTGATACACAGCCGATTATGGTCAAACCTTGACCATGCCTGTTATAGGTTATTTCAATTCATGAGATCCCAGGCTTATGCGCTTCACTTCTAACGTACAAACGACAAACTCGGTCCTTGTACTGGATATATAGTCGCAATCCCAAAATAATCGATACTGACTCAAAAAATCACAGACCGTTTTCAACAGTGATGGTTGCTGGTTAAGACGAACGCAGATATACACAGAAGGGTCAGGGATTGATAAGTAACGACACCTTCCATATTTTGATGATACAGATCAAGGATGACTACGGTCGTAGTGCGTACACAAAGGAGAATGCCGACAGCGGCAAGATAGCATATGTGGCGGACAATGCAGGTGTCTACGAGACGTGTTTCACGAGCAAGGTAAACGAGTGCCAAAACAACCACTTCAGATATGTATGTGTGTAGATCAATATTTAAACCGGTGCGTGTGACGAGATAGGTAAGTACCAAAGCACGCACCGTCAGATCAATGTGTAAGCTGGCGTATATGGCATAGTGTCTCAGCACTATAGTAGTATATACTTTACATTGCACTGTGTTTATGTGCAGATAGACTGGCTCTGAATTTTCCCCTTGGGGAATGGCCTTTGTTTGTAGTTGTAATTTTGTTTGGTGAAGTCCAGTCTCGTCATCCCAATCACCGGGTTGCGATGTTCTACTGGCATATACTGCGTTGTCGATGACTTGCGATAGTTTTTTACACACAGCCTCTGAAAGTTTTTTCTACGATTGTATTTTTGATTAGACTACATTGAAATTATTTACGCAGAAATGTGATAGTATATCTCATTCGGACCTCAATTATGTTCTTATAATAATGGTTCAAAGTTGTATATGTGCGCACTTTCATCCATGGTTTGGATTTAGCGTTTTTTCTGCCAGCTGCAGATCATCATATATGCCTGGTAGTAGTTGCCATTGGTCATTCTATATTCCAATGAAATCCGTCTAAGTTGCACATGACGGTACACATGCACAACACCCAAAACAGCCAACACCGTATCATCATACATAAACGCGTGCGCAAATAGTTTATCTACATACATACTTAGTCTCCAGCCACCACGATGACACCAATCGACATCATATAACCCACTGGCACAGGTCGACTCTGGCGCTGAGATGAAGATGCACGAGATCACCGTCGACTTGAAGTCCGGTGTGGAGGCCAACGAGTACGACGCAGTCAAAGAGGCCGAGAACTTGGCGCCGCTTGAACTGGCGATCAGGCGCATGGAAGAGCTGGCTGAGAGTATCGCCAAGGATATGGGCAGCATGAAGCAGCGAGAGGCTAACATGCGCAATACCAATGGTAGGTCGTTGTGGGTGTATGTACAAAAAAGGAGCTTGGTATACGGAACACGGGTGACCCGTTGGTACGTGCACGGCTGTGACTGATAAGCGTGCGCTGTAGTTTAAGGTGGTGTCCATGGCATAGAGAGTCTCAAGTTAATACCAATTGAGTGGTTGTGTATCACTTATCCACGCCATCAGTACCTATCATGCTTACAACTACACATAATCGACCACAGCGCGTGCGCCGTGCTTCCAGTGCGATGTCGATGGTTCAAATGCAACTTCATTTCTCTACTAATGTGTCAGAGTATCACCTGATATCACCTCATACCCCTCGGCCCTCCCTGTTGGCTTTACATAAATAGCTTCATTTCACTACTAATGTGTCAGAGTATCACCTGGTATCACCTCATACCCCCCGGCTCTCCCTGTTGGCTTTTCATAATTAGCTTCATTTCACTACTAATGTGTCAGAGTATCACCTGATATCACCTCATACCCCCCGGCCCTCCCTGTTGGCTTTACATAATTACGTGCAAGTCGTGTGCTGTGCTTCAGTATAATTTCCAGGATGTGAAACCTAGTCCATCTCACCACCACTGAAGTGGCAATCTACATTTTCTTACTCATGGCAGCATAATATCTCATGATTTATATTTTCACCCATATTTTTGTTCTTACGGAAATTTAACACAGATGGAAGAGCTTTTTGAACAATACAAGTGCCCACGTGTGATCGGGTCATGTGCTGTCAGCATATAAAGACTCTACTTTCGCTGTGACAGTTATCTACTGGCGCATCACAGTACCAACAATCTCACCAAATGCTCTCTTATTTACTTTGACAGAGTCGACCAACGCGCGCGTATTGTACTTCAGTGTGGTATCCATGATGTGCCTGGTGGGTCTGGCCATCTGGCAGGTATACTACCTGAAGAGCTATTTCAAGTCCAAGAAGCTGATCTAAATATAGGGGTTGGACTTGTGCAATATGAATCGATAGTGCTCCCCATCCCCGCCCGATCCTCGGCCCTGTTTATGCGGGTCGAGCACGCCTATAGGAGACTCATGATATACAATAAAGCACCCGATTTATGTGTATTCAACCGATCGTATAATTCCACTTTACAATTTAAATTAGGACTCGCACCTAATATTCCAGCCGACTTCCCATTCCCAATAAAGAGAAGCTATCCCAAAAAGAGAAGCTGAGCACTGAGGATATTCCCATCCGTAGCCCACCATTTATCTAAATTGGAAGCAGATGCCGAACGATACACACAAGCACAACGACATATACTCGAAATGTGTTGAATTTAGAAAGCTCGAGATGGACAGACAATCTAACTCAAAATACAGCCCTATTCGACTGGTGCGCTTTAAGTGTTTATGTAAGCTGTTTCGTTGCAGATCACTTCGCCTCGAGCAAAACGTTTTCGGGGAGCGTTTAGTGTGCATACAATTGCGTAACCAACCACACGGTCCGGCACGATACATTTTATATTCCCTTCAGCGGTGTCTCTGACCCAATTCCAATGATTAACAGTGCCTAGGATTAAGTATACGCGAGCGTACACGGCCTGAAATCGAAATCATACGTACACGCTATATTCGTATCTCCATGTACAACTCAATCGTGGTGCAAACGCCCTCCGATATCCTCCGTGAGATGCACAGTTCGACCCCACCCACAACCACAGAGAGAGAGTCAGAGAAGGTTTACTAGCTAACCCTACGATAAACCCACTAGCTAGACTACCATATATTCAGGCAGAGTTCTGCGCTCTATAGGGACGTTGGGTAAGTGCGAGGCCAATGCTTCTCCGAACACTATGTAAGACGAGCAGTCCTCGGCACTCTCTGAGGTACCGCAGACGGCATGGTCACATAGACCATATATACCACCAGCGCCCAGCCGCATACGTCGGCAGTTCTAGTGAACGAACACTGATACAACTGCGTGCATACCGTACCCTGTACGTGCCTCTCGCCTATAGGTACTGACTGTACCCAAGCAGATAGGCAGAACGTATAAACAAGACAACCTTCCTGGTGCACAACATACTAGGGCCCATTGGCCCAAAGCCTCTCATCCGGACCTGTGCTACATGTCCGTGGGCATTAGGTCACTATTGAGAGCCCCCCTCCCCACCTTGTACCATTGCTCATTGTAGAGGACAGACTGGAGTGTCCACAGGTGAGGTATAGTGATACACCCAGCCCGCGACTAGGTACCACTCGCACGGTGTGAAGGGTGGCCAGTTGCGAACAAAGTGTGCGTACTGACCTTGTCTGGCTATGCCTGTGATCTCTGTAGCCATCAGCGCAGCGCATGCGGCGCATCACCTAGGTATTGCTTCATGGCCCTTTGTATGTGTACACTGACACGGAGCAGGCGGAACGGCCCCGTATGGTGTCTTGTACCACAAGGTAGTATACTAATACACACGGTAGTATACTGGTACTTCCGCTCGATTGCAAGTACACACACGATGTTCGCAGCACTTGGTTGGATCATCAGGCGCAGCCATAAGGATGTCGAAGAATTCTACGGTGCATGTTGTGCCCACACACTTTAATGAACTCACTCCCATCAAAGCGGTAAGCGTTCCTGTGACCTTACTTGTCGTCCTGAGAATCCTTGACAATCTGCGCCAGCGTCTCGCCATCACACCCAGCTCTCATCAGTCTCACACACAGACCCATTGTTTCCTCGTCCAGTCCGGTGGCCAAGTATTGTGACATCTCCATCAACACTGTGCGGGTTGAGGTTGGCATTGGGAAATGTGAGATGGTACAGGGTATATAGTATGAAAGTATTTCACTACAGCAGATACTGAAAGAATAGCATAGTGCACCAACGAGTGTTCGATTCAGTATGTGAAGTGGCACGTCCAAACAGTGCACAAGTACTATTGCAACATACCAGAACGGACGCACCGATTGGCTCACACTCAGATACGCGGTGAAATATATTGAGTATACATACAAACATACAAACACACGAACACCCACATATATATATCAACATATTACATATACGTATACAAATATATACATACATACATACATACATACATACATACATATATATATATATATATATATATATATGTATATAAATAGAATAAAAACACGCTATAACATTTCTTTGTGTTTTGCGCTGAGCATTCTTAAATTTCGTCTATTTACGGGCACAATATGACTGTTGAAATTATGAACTCTATAGCAGTTAAAGAGGGGAATACACTACAGATACAGCAAAACGATAAACTGTATCTCTGCATTAGCACAGCATCCCGGGAGACATGTAAGCGTGTGCGACCGCTCTCGTGGTTTAACAAGGAATATGTTTTATATGCCTATGACCTCATATTAAACTAAACGACATTGACAAAAACAACCCTATCCTGAATCCTCGAGGCCTCTAGCATCTCAAATCACGTATAAAACCACTAAACTCATTATGTGATCCTGAGCGTTCAGAACAAACTGGTTGTGCTGTACCTTTCAATTCAGTTTCACCGATAGTGCTGAGACTCGAATCTTGCTCGTCGTCATCACCAACGGTTGAGGGGGTTTCTTCAGAAGTCATGTTTATATAATTGTGCAGTGGTTTGGACAGTCAGCCTCAAACAGACGCAATAGTTGAATATTGTTTAATACTTCCACAATGTATTTAACTCTGCTTCCTCAGAGTAACTCTGCTTCCACAAGGGCCTCTGGCGCCCTGCTATGTAAATAGTATTTTTTTTTGTAATGCTGCGCAACGCCGCAAAGTTAAATATATTTTTTACAACTTCCAACCGCCCAAATTCTGAAACCCAACTGAAAACCGGTTTTTTAAGGCCCCAGCATATGTCTTTCCGTTCGCTCGTGTTATTCATCGAATTATAATATGTAGTTTATGAGATCTCTGCGAAATTGGATCCTTGCATAATGATATTCGCTGTTCATATTGCGTGCGCTTCTACCATCTGCGATCCAGTAGATCAAGTGTTATTTTACACTTAACACACCACAACCAGCAGCTCTCATACAGTTGTGGCAAAACATTACGATCAATACAAATTGTCCTACTCCCACCATTCTGATACTCGTTGGGACGCTAACATTTTATGTATTTATCGATCTTTCCAAAAGACTTCTGAGGAAACAAGAGGAAATCCTGTTACATACTCATGACATCTATTGTCCTATTAACTCATATATGAAAGAACTGCTGACCAAAATTTGAACTATTTTTAATGAAAGATTTTGTGTCTTGCCGTTTGCGGGTGGAAGTAAATACGCACCAAAAAGAAGCCTTAGAATCACGAGAGATGGCATAAGCTGGCATTCTTATGTGTTGTCTCATCTGGACTATAATATCCTTCGCGCAAATATTCTCTTTGATAATATGTTGTGGGGTTATACTACGACGAATTATATATATTTCTTCTTCCCACTTAGTATGTAGTTCTAGCTAGAATTAGAATGCCTCTGGGGTGGTTCACCCGATTATCTAGAAGTGTTATGGCCTCTTCTTTCTCACACTTTCAAGACATATCATACAGGTGTTGCCTTTTCCATATGATCTGCGCATGTTCTGGTGCAGCTGAACTTTATGATGCAGTGTTCAACAGCCTATTCAAGTTCCAATCCAAACCGACACTACAATGATGCTGCACCACTAAATAGTGTACACACTTAAAAGTATTGTGGTATAGTAATAACAAACTTATTGCGACATCGATGTTGGCAACATTAGCACTACGGCGACCAATTGTGAAATCGCTATCACGCTAGATATGATCAAATAGGTTAGACAAGTAACCTTAAACCCGCAAGTTTAAAGCTTTGATATTTCGGCCGGTTGCGGCATACAAGCCTGTCAAATATGAAAACCGGCCTGTAGTGTCCGGGATGGAATCAGAGTGAATTAGAGGCAACGCAAGCTAGGATATAATCGATTTGTCAACTTGACAACGAATTTTGTAGAATCTACAATATGTATGATTCGTGTTTCGTTCCCTGCTTTACCTGCAACATGTATATTCGCTTTCTCAGAGAAGAGACATATTGTTTTTTTCCTTATGTTTGGCCAGGTATTGCTTTGCTGCGCTGTTTATTTTAATATAACACTTCCTTACAATACTTGTCTAAGTAGTTATATCAGTTGAAAGATATGTGCCTGATACTCAGTGAAGTACAAAAATATTGTAAATAGATGTATATCGCTACAATACAGTTGTATATAGCAGTATATATTTACTATTCTCACAGGGTTCAACCTAAGACTAGCTGCACCATCCAAGGAACCAAGCTAGTAGTACCATTTCTTCCTTGCAATGCTATGTAAAGGTATAAATTTGGCAAATCTACTTAGGAGTTCGCGGGAAAGATTGTTGCCATACATCCTCCGGAGTACTGACCACACGTTCCCCGAGTTGCGTACGAGCTAGGTCTAAGGCATGTTGGACCATTGTCGCTGAAGCCTATCGGGCATCGATCCCGTGTGCACGTGCATACGGCTGATCGGTACCAGCCCGAATTGCACGAGCGACCAAACACTTGACTGTATAAATCACAATTGGTATCGACCGGCTTCCCGACTACTTTCAGTGAGAAAACACAATCCAATCGATTGGCTGATTCCTGGGCATACGAAGGGCAGTCCTGATAACACTGCGTGTTCAGACCTACGGAGAAGCCATTCGGACAAGGTTGCGATCTTCGAGACACTGCGGCAGCTATGACCGACACCGCTTGAAGGACCGACACCAATGCTATCAGAAGGATTGGTTTGCACATTTTTTAGTCTATGTCGTGGGTTGTGTGTTGGTGATTGTGACCTTAATTTTGAACTCTTTAGTTTATTCACACTCGGTTTTGTACGTATTCGCCTGTTTTAACCCTCATCGTACCGGTCATATATCCTAGTAGTTGATTTACCCGGATCTGTAACTATGAGCTCACTCTTAACATTCAACGAATCGTGTCATTTTCGAAACTCGGGAGCCTGTTTGTACAGTAATCGATCGAAAGCATGTGACATTCTTCAAATAGTAAACACAGCTTCGATAACAAATCGATTCAATGTTTTTATATTTAAAACTGAGTGACAGACAACTATTTGTCAAAAGACAAACAAACACATTGTACATATGTATCAGCATGTATGTGAGTACATATGTGAACATATTCATAGCATAAATAAATTGAAGGGTGTCGATTACTGCCGATTGGGTAGGTGGCAAAATATAATTATTTAAATGTGTAGAACGAAACAAAAAATAGCGCACAGTTTTTTTGGGGGTTTTTTTTGGATATATTTATTGCTCTGTATGGACGGTTTTCGGTGAGGCACGGTGAGAGTAGAGACAGAGAGCGAAACTAAAACATGTAGATCAAATCAAATTCCGATCTACTCAGAGTTTCAAGTTTATCATCAGGCGACAGATAAACAAGCTGTAGGTACCATATAGATACATCTGTTCACAAGCATAATATTTATAAAACTTCTTGAAAATAAAAAAATAAAAAAATGGAACCTAAATATGCTATCATTGCTATGTAAATAGTATAGAGTAGCATAGTATTACCCTCTCTAGAAGCAGAAATAAGAAATGAAGATTGTCCAAGATGGCCAGCCAAGAGTATAGTGAACAAATTTGAGCCTCTGTAAAATTACAAGACAAGCTAATTTTTGAGAGAGGACGTTATACTGACCACATAGGGATGATAGAGATACGCTATATCGCTGGATAGTTGTGGAAAGTTGATCACAGACAAATTTATTGAGTGGATTTGTATAAATTTGTATCCGCTAAAAATAGAGGGTTCAAAATCAACTTCAATTCATCACAAGTCAAAGAACATCGAAACATGAGCGTAATTTGCATTTCGACTCTGCAAGCAATGTCAGGCATGGCTCTGTCTACTGCAAACATCCCGGGATCGCGACAATGCCCTGACGGCTTCACAGTAGGTCGGACACGCTGTGTGTCCAGGACTGTCCATCGTACTCCCGAGTCTCAGCAAGTAACTTAGGCTGTACTTTCGGGTTGAAAGTGGTCGGTAAGCCAGCCCACACCAATTGTGATCTCTTCAGTGAAGTTTTTGGCCGCTCGTGTGATCCAGGTTGGTATCGCTCAGCTGTTTGTACCTGTACGCGTGATGGATGTCCGGGAGGCTTTAACGACAATGGACCAACATGCCTAAGACCTGATTCATATGCCATCCGGGCGACGTGTAGCCAGTACTCACAAGACTGTGTACCGACTGTCTTTCCAGAAGACTATTGAGGAGACAGAATAGCGCCAGAAGTACTTTGGAAAAAATAAATAAGTAAATGAATATGCGCTTGGAATCGGCATTCACATACGCACCTTTCTTAGACATGCTGTATCGGGTCCAGAAATGTGAATGGCTGTAATCCATCGAGATGATCTGCACAATATACACTAGCGGAAAAAAATGCATGGTTGTCCGTTGGCATATACCATATAATATATACTATTTTCGAGCACAGTGACTGTTTAGCATTTTTAATATGTACCTCAAGAAACAACATTATAAAATATCCCGGTGGACAGAATACTGAACATCGATAGCACTGAAGGGTGAAGTGACTGCAGTTACAGTTATAATGAGCACTCTTTCCCATATGCGGACGCATGCGAAGGTACAAGTATATCCGAGAACTTCGCGCAGATGACCACCACCTGAGCCGGAAATGAAAACTCTTTCGTGTTATTCTGGACAAATGCTTCAAGTATATTTCAGCCCCGTTGTGACACAAAATGAGCTCTTCCGCACAAACTGAATAAACGGAAAAGTGAGCCAAGCAAGGAGTGGCTGTCTAGAGTGCGTCCTATTATGTCGACATGTATTGCAACTAAGTAAGTGAGATAGCCCCGTCCCGTTACCTTCTATTCGGCCAAGCGAAGGTGAACTAAAAAACACTAGAAATTCATGACATGACGTGCTAGTTTGTCGCAGAGCGGAGATATCGACAGCATTCACCTGTCTGTCGCGAGAACGAAAAATTCGAACGCCATTTCCCATGGTGCCATGAGTTAACGCTGCCTCCTTTATACTGTTTTATATACTTTATTTATGATTTTAAGTTTAAACATATAAGAAACCCTTCCATGCTGATTTGCATATACGTATCATTAATTGTTACAACGCGCGGGGATGGCACTCGCATCCGCAACTGTTGTATTTCGTGTTAGGGGTCGTCCGTTGGATACAAATTATATAACTCACGACTACCCGTCCTGTTGTATGCCAGACATCGTTGTCAGATTCAGGCTCCAGATTCATCTTTCGTTCCAAATCGAACGCTCAATTAAGTGCGTTAACGTTGATTTAAGGCTGTCGCTTTGATTCGTTCACTATTCGTTAAATTGTTTGGTGCACCTGCGGGACTTGCTACAGCGCAGGAGTTACACTTTCGTAAGCACGTAGCACAATCCCTGCCGGCAATAACAGGCCATTGGTATCCAGATAATGCGATCAAGAGTGATAGTGTAGTGATGCTACCCGGGCAAACAGAAAGAACATCAGCGGATTCAATCAGTGATGTGGGTGTACTCAAGTAGATTGGCCCATCGGACCTGCATTTGTCCGAAGTGCATATACCCGGTGCACACTCTTGGGCCACCGTACAGTGTGTACCATAGAAATGACCTGGACACGGCAACGGGACACAGGCCTGCCCTTCAGGGTGGTCATAGTCGGATCACCACCAGCCCGAATAGACCAACTGAAGATTCATTCACATCCCAAACCAAACATATTGCATATCCAGATTCTTGCGCTTATGAAGAGTTTTCTTCTTCGTACATAGTACCGTTCACATAGGGTATACTGCTTGCCTGCCTGCATGATACCAAGTCTCGAGTACAGCCTCAACGGGGTCTCGGTGCCCCTCCGACTCCCTATTTTGGCTTGAAATCGGTGTATCTACCCGTTCTTTCGCAAAAACAGAATATAGTTCAAGTTCGGATAGTCAACACACACAACTGAGCGTGAGTCACATTCCGAATGAAGCCATAGCCCTCTACTCGAATAGCTCTCGATCGACTCTAAGATACTTTTAATGCAGACACTCCCCTCAGTACATCTCAATGGCCTCCATATCACTGTCTCGCAGCTCCACCTCTTCTCCGTTGTCCGAGTCTTCGTCGTACCTCTCGTCTGTGTCCACACGCGCATACGCCAGATTGCCCGTCCCACGTGTGTCACTCCCAGCGCCACCAGCAACGACGCCACCATGGCGTGTGAACATGCTTGTCACACGATGCTTTAGCTTCGCGAACATGCCTACGTTGTGTGTGTTGCTGTCGTCTACAGAGTTTTGTAGGCGAGTTAGGCGCACATCGATGTTGGTTCGCTTGCTGGGCATGCCCGTGGGCTTACGATACCTGGGTGGGTGTTGGCGGATAGGCGCGAGTGGTGAGTGGGTGAATGCGAAACCAGAAAACAGTGTATGTGTGTCAATGGAGTGGGCAGCTGAGTGGGTGTTGGCGGACAGGTGCTAGTGGTGAGTGGGTGAATGCGAGACCAGATAAAGAGGGCATGCGTGTCAATGGAGTGGGCAGCTGAGTGGGTGTTGGCGAATAGGCGCGAGTGGTGAGAGGGCGAAAGCGAGACCAGATAAAGAGTGTATGTGTGTCAATGGAGTGGGCAGGCGTGCGGATGACACACGCGGGAGGGTTGACTATACCTGCGCGCGAAGGACATGACAAGTTGCTAAACCGTGTGGACTCGGAGAATGTGAATGTAGAACATGCCATATGCGGCTGACACGCCTACTTTGTCCATGCGCATACTCGTGCATGGGTCATCTATTAATTTGTATATACAATGCCACTCATCTCCCCCCGGCTCATAGAGGCCACACCCCCACTGAATTCTGCACAGTTTGACTTTGTGGGACTCCCGGATGAGCGCACAGGGACACAGACAAAAATATAAATAAGTAAATAAACACATAAAAAATAAATAAATAAATAAACACACATAAAATACAAATAAAAAAATAAATAAACGCACATAAAATATATGTAAATACATAGACACACATAAAATGCAATAAATAAATAAATAAACACACATAAAATACAAATAAATAAATAAATAAACACACATAAAATACAAATAAAAATAAATAAACGCACATAAAATATATGTAAATAAATAGACACACATAAAATGCAATAAAAAATAAATAAACACACATAAAATACAAATAAATAAATAAATAAACACACATAAAATACAAATAAATAAATAAATAAACACACATAAAATACAAATAGATAAACACACATAAAATATAATAAATAAATAAACAAACACACATAAAATGCAAATAAATAAATAAATAAACACAAATAATATATAAATAAAATAATAATTAAACACACATAAAATGCAAATAAATAAATAAATAAACACATAAAATACAAATAAAAAATATGAATCATGTACGCAAAGGCACACATGAGCATACAAGTAAACTGAAGTGCAGGCATACTAATATCCAGACGGACAATACACACAGTAAAAGGCAGGTACCATTTTAGGTCGAGAAATTAAGATGAGAGCGGACGGAGATGAAGGGAACTAACAGATGGCCACCGCCAGGGGTTGCCTTGTAATACCCACCCAACTCAAGTATATAATACGAACAAGCACAGATGCGCATGATTTCTAAGGGCACACCTATGCATACGTACTTGGATATAGACACAGACACAGATGCGCATGATATCTAAGGGCACACCTATGCATACGTACTTGAATATAGACACAGACACAGATGCGCATGATATCTAAGGGCACACCTATGCATACGTACTTGAATATAGACACAGCTTATTAACGTACTTATAAACCACTTACGTACGAGGGATGGTGTGACGACAGACAGAAACGAGCGCATCATGCAAGCGACTGCTATCGGGAACGCCAGCCCAACCCAATCATCCCGTACTGACATACACAGACACACACACACCACTTAACGAGGGGCCAGTCCATACAATCACACGCACACCTTTTGAGTAGAAGGGATGAGGTGACGACAGACATACACAGAGACACACACGCCACTTAACGAGGGGCCAGTCCATATATACGCACGCCCACCTTTTGAGTAGAAGGGATGAGGTGACGACAGACAGCGACGAAAACATCATGCAGGCGGCTGCCATAGGGGGCCGCATGAGAATGCCTGCCCACATGAACAGGCCGGCTGCCACCGGTACGCCCATCAGATTGTATATACACGCGAAGAAGAAGTTGTATCTATAGAATGCGGTAAGAGGAATGTATGTATGTATGAGTGTGTGATGTTGTACGCACAACCGGGTCAGAGACTGTGCACAGTGCCGTGCGATACAAGGCAGAGTGAGGGTGGAGTTGTAGTATACGTGATGGAATGGGCTGTATGTGTAACTAGTCGTGCCTATTAAATACGAGGTAACACACACAGTTGACGAGGGTCTTCTTGGCCACAGCCAGGTTCCATTTCCAATGTGTAATTGGCACACACAGGTATCGTATCCACATGCTTCCTTTCATTGCGTTGAGTCCAAGAACTCTATCCTATATACAGAAGACCAACATGAGCAAGTAGCCACACACAGTTGACGAGGGTCTTCTTGGCCACAGCCAGGTTCCATTTCCAATGTGTAATTGGCACACACAGGTATCGCATCCACATGCTTCCTTTCATTGCGTTGAGTCCAAGAACTCTATCCTATATACAGAAGACCAACATGAGCAAGTAGCCACACACATACCTTATCCTTCGCACAGTTGTGCGTGAAAGGTCGATAGCTGTTACGATACCATCGAGTGCTCCATTGATCAACACAACATCCGCGGCCTCAATCGCCACGTCTGTGCCTGTGCCTATGGCCACGCCCAAATCGGCCTGAGCTAATAACCATGATTGAAGAATAAACAAGTAACATAATCGAATGAGACCGACTTAGAACAATATATATATATATATATATATACCTAAAACATAGCACCCCCTCCCCCACGCACACAAACACACGTATATAAACACGCACACGGAAGCACATGCCATACACACCCAGACAGATACTCTAAGGCGCATGTGCATACCCAGGGCAGGCGAGTCGTTGATGCCGTCTCCACACATGGCCACAGTCTCTCCCTCGGCCTGCAGCTGTTTGACAATCTCAGCCTTGCGACTGGGCAACACTTCAGCGAACACATTGATCGGATCAATCCCAACCTAAGGGTGAGTGGGTGAGCCGAGGATTAGCTCTGGTCGTCGGATGCGATGGTCGATCCAGTGGGATGGGATGACATCATGAATGGTACTTGGGTTTGAGGGCGCGATTATGGAGACAGATTTGCTCCTATCCCTCACTGCAGAGCACTAGGTACGTATATGCCACGACAAACTCTGCCTTCTTGATAGGTATGCAATATATATATATATATATATATATATAGTTACTATATTATATATATATATATATATATATATATATATATATATATATATATATATATATATATATATATATATATATATAAT